TTTTTCTTAATCACGAGGGTACTTTTGGTAATCAAAAGGGCATGATTACTTGATCTTGATTGGTTTAAAGTTGCTTTGTAATGAAGTTATTGCTTAGATTTGTTGCCGATTAAAATTTTCTGCAACAATGGCTTCCCATTTTGTTGAAGAGTTTATTGAGGAACTACTAAACACAAGTGAGCACAAAAACACAAAAAGAAGTACGGACTACTGGACTAACATTTTCCAACAATGGGCAAAGACAAGAGGAAAAAATGAGCAATGTCGCGGCATTGAACGGGCTTCCTAAAAGAATAACGTCGCGCGTGAATGGATTCCCGCGATAATTTTGCCCTTTATGTGATAAACAAGAAATCGCAAGTGCCCTCGGGCAATTAAGGATTAATTTCACTGGTGTTTTCAAAGTTTGGAAATACGCGTGAAATTAATCCTTAATTGCCCGAGGACCCATGCGATTACATATACATATCCTATTGACAGCTCGCATACAAGTTTGGGCGTGCGTGTTGATCATCCTTAAAGCTCTATGACAATGGCGATTTTAGCTGCAATTTCACCGGTTTGTGAGGTTTACAGAGCGATATAAATATTTTTAAAAGCAAGTGGATATTAGTTAAAGGTTAATGGACATCGTAGAAAGACAACAATAGATAAAGTCTTAAGTATTCTAATGTTATCTTTGTATTGGCTCATTTAGAATAAAACACCAATATTTAGGAAGGGGGTTATGCGATATCGCTCTATTATGACGACAAAAGTTGCACTAGGGTAAAGTTAAACCCATAAAAAAATATTTAACTGTTAACATGTAATAGTTCAATAGACACTAAAGGAAACAACGAAATTAGTGGTTAATAAAGTGTGTTAGTCTAATATGTATTTCACGGGCTTAGTGACTTCACCCTAAACTTTTCGAAAACGTCATGAAACTTCCACAAAATCTCAACTGGAACTGCACTTAAAAAGACAATATATTGCAGGTTCATGACAACGAGTCTCAAAGTAAACTCTTTTAATTCCAGATATAAGCTTTATCACTTGGAGCTAAGTTTTTAAACGACAACTTTTGCTTTATGAAAAATTCAACTTTATAACACCTCGCAACAAGACCAAGACAAGTTAAATCTTTTTCATAGAAGTCGATGTCCTACACACATCAGTCACCAAGACAAATTCTATGACTCTTAAGGCCGATTTCCACGATGCGATTGTAGTATATGACTCTTAAGGCCGATTTCCACGATGCGATTGTAGTATATGACTTGATGCATGTGACCCGAATCATACCATATAAACGGTCATTCGTCAGGTCGTACACGACCCTATGACTTGTCGTTCGAACCTTAACACACGAAGAAATTGCATTGTGTAAATCGGCCTTTTTAGGGAATATTGACTTACTTGAAATAAAACGATCAACCATAAAATGACTGGCAAACGGTTAAAGAAAATAACATGTTAACAATATAGGACTCAATTATGTTGTAACCCTGAATACATAAAGACAAGAAATGTTCAATGTCAACTAATGTTCAAATATAATGCAAGAACCACAGGATCAAACTACTACTTTCTCTTCATCTTTTGACGTTTGACTTCTTTTCGTACCTTGTCCGCCAAACGTTGTTTTTGCCTCAAAAGAAGCTCCTCATCATCGGTTCCGAAGACCAACCCGGTTTTCCATGCTTTCTCATCATTTATCACCCGTTCCCAAACGACCTCTCTTTTTACTGCGTTGTTTTCAATCATATCCTGAGTTAACGATAGGAGATGGTCTGTTTGTTCATCGGTGAACTTACTCCATGATGGCTTTGCAGATTCAGATGCGATGGATGGAGCTCTGGAAGACATAAACCGTTCTATCTTCTGTTCAGGAGACTCAACTTCAGTTGGTGGTTCTAAGTTTTTGGTAAATTCTGATCGAAGCCTTCTCACTTTCAACACAATTGCCTTCATGGAGTGTGTTTCCAACAGGTTGGAAGCACCAAGTTTATCTCTGACAATGTTTTCAGTTATGTTACCAGTCTCAATTTCAGACTTGAATAAATCTTGAAGTTTTGAGGTCTCTTCCTCGGTCCACTCGACAGGAATTATTGATACCTAAAAGAAATCAGAATTCGTATGCCAATTGTTATTCAAATTACTACGATTGGTATGCATTATAAGAGTACTTACCTCTGTCTTTGCGCAGTTCATGGTGATAAATTTTCTGACAGCACGACGCCCAATATCTGTTTCTCTAACTTTGTCATTGATGCGGTAATATTGAGCTTGTGTTTGAGGTTTGTGCTGTGCAAGGGCAGCCAGTTGTTCTTGATCTTCAGGCAAATGGACATGCACTCCTGATGCCAGAGATTTTCTTATCAAGGTTGCGGAGATGCGACCGTGAAACTTCACACCCTCCCTTTGAAATGTACGAGTCAGACACGTGGATACTTGCGATGAAGTAAGTTTAACGCCATTGGTTGAAACGAACATGTTATCTGTGGCATCTTTGACGTACTTAGGCCTCACCCTTGAGATATACGTATTCACCAGATTGTAAACATCAGCATGAAACCATACAATGGCTGCCCCATAAACACCTCCTGTCTTGTGATTCTTAACTGATACGCGGTATCTCTCTCCATCTTCTTCTCCAGCGTACAGTTTAGCATCTTTGAATTCCTCCACTGTTATATTTGCTGCAATACCACTTCTTCCGGAGTTGTCAATTATTAATCTTGTAATCAGCCAATCCCTTACTTCGCAAAAGGTCTGATCGTTGACCAGCACAGGTTCTCCACAAGCTTTGCTTTTCTCCGCAGCTGTTCCAAGCGCTTTAATTATGTTTATTCGCTGTTGTCCATTTGACACTTTATATAGATCTTCGCTAGAAAGGAGTTTTGCAAAGTCCATGTCATGTTTCTCTAATTTCCTTTTCAGCACCTTCTTTCTTTGAGCAGATGACCACGAAGTTAAAAGATCTCTCCTTGCATGAAGTGTGTCTAATCTATCTTGCCCTTTCTCTTCTTGCACAAGGAATTTAAGGAATAGCCTAAGGCTCATTAGGTATGATCTAATGGTTCCAGGTTGATACTCCTCAGATAGTTGACCCAACCACTTCCTCAACATTACCACTCCGTCATGCCCCTCGACAGTAACAAGATCTATTTCATTTGCTGCTTGAGGGAAATCTTCTGAAAGAACTTTCATGATGCGTTTTACCTGTGACTTGTACTGACCAGCCACTTTTGCGCAGCGATAACCCCCGTCTACGTCTATCAACCAGGAATGAAACTCGTTAAGCAGTGGGCTGTCATCACTACTATCATTGTCTTCAAAACTGACATCATCTTCCA